GTTACAACTGCCCAGCTGTTCTGGTCAACCATAAGCTGTTGCAGCGAGGATGAGGAGAAACTGGCTCAGAGATGAAGAGGAATGGTTCAACAACAGTTTTATTGTTTTCTGTAAATACATTTTTCTATAAATCTATGTGCAGTTTTTCTGTATATATATATATATATCATGGCCTAGAATATACTGTATATCATTACAATAGTACACCATCCAGAGCAGAACCTCAGAGCGGAACCAGAATCTCTCTGGTTTCAAAAACAGACTTTCTAGCTGTAACATCACCAAGTCAGATAAAATAAGCCCAAAAACAGAGAGTGTCGATTCTGTTTGGTGTGAACTGATTGGCTGCTTTTAACTGGGTTTCTTCAGGCAGAACCCACCTCTGCTGGAAGGATCAACCTTTTCCCTCTGACTTCTGCTTTTATTGTCATAATGTTTCTCCTGTCTACCTTTTTAAGGTTCTGGAGGTCCAAACTGCTCAGAACTCATCGTTGAAAAGTTTGATTCACCATGCTTGTCAAAAAGCACCTCAGAGTCAGAGGACATGACTTTAAATATTAGATAAAGTGCCGTCAGAGGTATTTAAAAGAGTTCTGGTCTCCCAGCCCTCTGAATGGACCGACCCGGCTGAAGGATTTCTGGATCTTTGTGGCTGATCCAGCTGAGCTCCTCCTCCAGTCAGCAGCTGCAGCATTAAACTCTGTAACGACTCCTTTCTCTGAAGTATCAGTTTTTGTTTCCTCTTTTTTGCCTCATCGTCAGTGAATATGTTTGTGGTTTGTTGTGCCATCCCATAATGGTCAGCATATTGATATAACAGCCAGGATTTTTTGTCTGAATATGTTCCTAAAGTTAGACATAATATGTTCTCTGGTCCATGGGAGTTCTTCAGATTCCTGGAGGCAGGAATTTTACCATTAGGCAAAACTATGCAGTTGCCTATGGCCCCATATTCCTGGGGGCCCCATACAACTCCTTTTACATGTATGGATAATACAGCTATTACATATTTGTGCAAATTAATTATGTTTTTGATAAAAATCATTTCCTTAAAATGTTATCTGAAGGCTTATAATATTAAGGGTGTCTCGGGGGTCCCCTTAAGGTCTACGTTCAGACCACACGAAGCAGAAGCAGCAAAAATGTGCATTCTGCTTCGTTGTTGATGCTTGTACAAGTTTAGTTCTGACGCGCCGCTGAAGCATCTTTGTGTCATTAAATGTGTCTCGTCTCGGGGGGGGGGCCCTTCAGTGTCCACCACATTGGATCAGTCCATTTGCTGTGTGTGCAGAAAGGTCCAAACAGACAGCAGCAAATCCATAAAAAACAAATAGGAAGAGCAGTGTTGCCAACTTAGCTTTTGTCGCTATATTTAGCGACTTTTCAGACCCTTCTTGCGCTTTTATTACAAAAAAGTGCTTAACTCTAAATCTGGTGACTTTTTTCTGTTACTGGAGACTTTGGCGACAAAATATAAAAGCACCGAACTCTGCTCTCCAGAGCAATTAGATTAGTAACATACTCTGTTCTTGTCTGCTGTCATAATTCATGCAGCTATAATTTAAAAAGGTCAAACAAATAAAGTATGTCTATTCTATTAAAATTTTTGTATCTGTATGATGGGTCTGCTTTATGTGTTGTCTTCTCAATTTAAAGGGCCCCCTGCCTGTTTTTGCCTAGGACCCCAAATTTCTTAAATCCGGCCCTGCCTGGAGGGTTCAGATTATCACAGAAATTGTTCTTAACTTTAAAGCAGATTAAAGCAGGGAAGCGATCCACCCTTGGTTCTCTTTATGCCTTTAAAGCCCGATCCAAGAAAAAAACAAAATAGAAAATTACTTTTTTTGGTTCAAATTCCTTATTTGGCCTTTTAACAAAATATGTAAAAAGAAAAAACAGAAATACATTTTTGATATTAATAATTTACTACAATGCGATAAATCAAGATTATTTGTTGTGTAGTCTTCTACTGGCTGTTATCAGGTATATCTGATTGTGAACAAAAGGATTTTGAGCAAAGTTTTTACCATTAAATTATGCAAAAGGTGTCAGACGCAAAACATTTCAGAAACCGTATGTATCAAATATGATACATTTGGCATTATAGGGTTAAAAAGGCTTAGGGAGATAATATTACAGACTGGAATCAGTTCCTGGCTTTTGCTGTGAATAAATGAACCAGTTCCACTGAACCAGAAATCCTTCAGTTCTTCCTTACCGGAGGATCCTCAAAGTTCCTGGAACACATCAGAATAATGAAGTTGTTTTATGTTTTTTGGTTTGATACTAAGGTTAACTCTTAACTATTACAACTGTTCATATGTTTAAACCATAATCTGCTTTTTTTCTGAGATATTTTATCAGCTTTACAAATTGTTTCTTCTTCTTGTCTGTTCCTGAGTTTAATATTATTTCTACTGTTTGATATTTTTGGCATCTCTTCTTATTAATATTCATGTTTCTCTCATCCAGTCCTACTAGTTCGACAGCTCTGTGTTTGTTAGAGTCTCAGTTGTTTCTTCATCAAACAGCATGAAGCCAATTGGCCAAAAGAATGATGCAAGCCTCTCTGCCACTACTCATCATTAAACTGGAGCAATATTTGTAAAATGGAAAGGAAATGGAAATCTATCAATTTTAGAAATAAAGACAAAATGCGGAAAACTATTGAGGCAACAGATTTGAATATTAGAACTGTCACAGTAGGCTGATGCTGAACAGGAGCTGTAATTCAACTATAAAAGACGTTAATTTTAATTTCCTTTCTTTTTTTCATATTTATGATGTTTATATGAACGCAACTTGGAGCTGAAGCAGAATCCTCTGTTTATGTGGAGGGAATTAGCGAATAACGATGGTTCTGATTCGCATCATCAGGCCTCATGATCACAGCTGGAGCCACACATGCACGGGGAGAACATGCTAACTCTGTGCAGAAAGAGACGCTGCGCCAGGCTATAAACTGCAGCTCCACTTCAGAGATGATGGGTCTAAATGAGAAGCATCAGTTTGGGTTCAAAATTAAGACCAACATATCAGGTTAAACATCCTTGAATCGTTGGAAGCAGGCCAAAATCTGCCTGCAGACTGATGAGGTCATGACAGAGATGATTATTAACAGAAACAGCTGCTAATTGGGCTGCTCTGTTCCTTCCTGTAGTTGTAAACCAGAAGCTGCTCAACTAAAGTCCATTAGCATAGAATCAGACTTTTGGCCATTGTCTCATTATGATGACATCCTGGTTGACATGCTAAATAGTTTCATTCAAGAAAAACCAAGAGTTACTGTAAAGTTTAGATGTAGTCACTGTGTGTGAGGGTAGTATATAAATATACAGTAGAAGTTATGTTGGTAATATAAAGAACTAATGAACATTTGCTTAACGTTGAGCAGTTATTTTGGGCGTTGCATAAAACCAACTCTATTAATAAATGTTTGCAGAGGTGTGATCTCTAAAAAAAATCCCACAGATTTTATTGGTTTCGTTTAAGGTCCATAAACCTTGGTAATGATTATTGTAGCAACTAAAGCTCAACACTGACCAGGGTTTCCATTCAGATCATCATATTAACACTAAGAGATTTAAGAGACAGAGTAGTGAACACAAAATGCAGCTTTAGTTGATAAGTAGAGAGGAAAGCAAACTAGGAAAACAAATGATAGAACTGTAGAATCAAGAGAACACGTCACTAGAACCTAATCTGCCAATGTCAATCTATCCATCTAACATTTATACCTGCTTATCATCGCAGGACTGTGGTGTGGAAACCTGATCCAATGCACCAAAAGATGGGAAAATGCAACATCCCATTTGTGGGATTATTGTGCAGCCTCCTGCTGCTACATTAGGGCTAATGTCCGCAATTACAATGGTTTTAGAAGGCAGGTTAGATCGTTAAAGCATAACAGTGGGTTTAATGTATGCTTTTACAGGGTTTTTGGGTGATTTTTGGTGTTGCCAATTAACAGGTTAAGAACCAATGAGAAATCCCAACAAGATCATCTCTGAATCTTTGGTTCTCCAGTAAACCACAGTGTCATCAACATATGGAGGTGACATGAGACAGCAGTGATATTTCCAAGGAGTACCCTGCCTAAAAACGTCAAAATCAGGAGTGCATTGGGTGATCCTGATCCTCCAGGAGATCCCAAATGGTCTTAGAACTACACCTACAGCTCATTAGGTCTCACTTAATAAGTAAATATTGGAAACACGTGGGATTAAAGGGAGATTCCATTGAAAAAACTACATTCTAAAAAAAGACAAAGGCCACTAAGAAGCATCTGGATGACCATCCAGCACTGATGCCTGGTGTGATCACTCATTTCACACACCTGCTTAGCTCCACCCAGTTCTCATTAAACACTCATCTGGTCCACCTTCATTAGTCTGTATAAAACTAGCCCTCAGACCAGTCATCTCTGCCAGATTATTTTAATCCGTTGATGAGACTTATTCTAGTGTTCCTGTGTTCCGGTCACCTAATCCGACCTGTTCTGCCTCTCGATCTTTGTATCTGCCTGTTTCCATCTGATCTGTTTGCCGGTCCAATCTAATGACTACTGCATGATCTCTGCCTGCTTGTGTAACAACCAAAACCATTTCCCGACCATTGAGTCTGCCTGCCCTCGTCCAGCCTGTCAGCCGCACTGTGTGCTCTGACAACCACCAATTTTGGCTTTGGCTTCGCCCTCTGTATCATCCTGACTACATTCATCTGCTCAGTTCCGGTCTCCTGCCTATCCTCCGACCACCGATAAATCAGTGCCTAGGACTCTGCTTAAAACCCCTGCTTTGTGTTGGCAGGTAGCTGACTGGAACCATCCTCTATCTCTGGATTTGGACTGAACTATAAGACCAGGTTAGTGACTCACACGTTTGTGATCACTCACTTCCAGAAAGACGTGGTCACTATAACCTGCTGTCTCCACCTGCAGATGTTCCTGCCTTGGACCCTGGTGCCGCTTACTTCGATTCTGTTATCAATGAACGTTCTGAGAAATCTCTTTGACTGACTTGAATACTGGATCCTTCAGTTCTGAGCCTGACATCCAAGTCTTTAGGGGAGATATTCTGTAGACTGACGGAGCACAAGTTAAATTTATTTGGAGGTTATGTACCATCCGACTCCTGGGACAGAACTTAGAGAAACTGACCCATGTTGTGTAATGACCATAAATCGGTTCCTGGTTCAGAACAATCATGTTTCTGAATGAAAACAGCTCTGTGCAGTGGGGTAAAGATTGGTTTGCAAAGTAAGGTCTTTACTAGCAGTGCTAATGTCTGATGGCGGGTGGTGCTTCCAATTGTCGCATTCCTACATTCGGGGGACATATGCTTTGTCCCCGTCGGGTCAGAAGGCTTATTTCTCAACAGTGGAAATTATCATAGCTTTGGTGTTTCTACAGGATAGATGTCTGATATACAAAATTTATATGAAGATCTAAAAAATTCAATTGCCACAAAAAAGGACATTTTAAAGGGACCAAATAGTTTCCTACACTATTGAAGGTTTACTAAAATACAATAGATGTTATCAATTTCAGCTCATTGGTATCAGTAAAAGTGTCTTAATATTTGTGATTATAGGGTCCGACAGCCTGCAACGATGATAATTTGTCTGTTCACTGAAGCTTTATCCTTCCTGATGTTCTCAGTCTGTGTTTATTACAGTTGGAGCTAAATAACGCTCCTCAGATTTCTGTCTGACATTTATAAAACAGCATGAAGTGAAACATAACCACCCTGAGGGGGTCTGAAGACTCTTTCAACAGAGTCAACAAGAGCTTCTCATTTGCAGACGTTTGTTGATTTAGAGTTGTCAAATATTTTCTAATTGACTAAAATCTATATCAAATCAATGATGTATGAAATGTCTTCCAGCACCAAATTAGGAGCTTAAATCTTTTTCTGGGTTTTTCTTTTTCTGTGTCCTCCTTTAGTTATATTTGCCTTGTTTGTCAAACATCAAAGTAAAAAATAAAACAAGTGGGTGAGCATGGTGTGAATCATTTGCTGCAGACTGCAAGTTCTTTTCAGACATATAGTTTCCCTCGAACTGCGCTACTGGTGAACAGACAATACAGAGTTACATCATTTCCTGTTATAAAACTAAAGTAATAATATTTAAGTTAATCTAATATTGTTTTGTTTATTTAGCTTGTGCAAATCTATAACCCTGATATAAAAAAAAGACATTTATTGGAGGGCGTCCATTGAGAGCTTTCAATGATGACTGTCTTTTCACTAGAAGCCAGCCTCGGCCACCAGGAAGTCAATGTGATCCTTGTCTTTGGTCTTGAAGGCCTCAGCGATGATACGAGCGGCATCTTTGTGCTCCCGTCCTCTGAGGGAAACTCCGTTGACTTCCAGGATGACCTGACCCACCTTCAGCTGCCCGCAGTTATGAGCTGAGCCTCCTTTCTGTCAGTGTAGACACAGAGAAAGAACACAGAGGATCTTTAGTAAGGATGCAGGGAGAGGAAAGCCACCGCTGCTAGATACAGACGGGGCTTGACGTAGATGATACCATAGAGCAGGGGTCAGCAACCCGCGGCTACACAGCCTCTTTAATGCCCCCTTGCGGCTCCCTGGAGCTTTTCAAAAATGTATTTATGTATGGATTTTTTTGTTGGTCTTTTATAATATGGTATGCAGGTCAAGCAAACATATAAAAATACTTTGATGCTTTAAAACTGTTGGGATCTGGAGGTCTGTCCACCTTCTTCCAGCAGAGGGCGCCTCTAGGTCTCCTGGAGCTGAGCTGACGACCACACCTGCGATCCATCAGTCATTAGGAGACCAGCATATAAGCAGCGGTGGGACTACACTCCAGCGCCAGAGTGTTAAGCCAGTTATGGTTAGCGAAGCCTGAGCCAACCAGCCTGTCTGATTCTCTGACTCCCCTGAACCTTGAACTTGAACCTGAGCAGTTTTTGTCTTCTCTGCCTCCTAGGAAGAAACCTGACTGAACCCTGGAACTCTGGAGGAGTTTCATCTGCTGAAATCTGCCTGCCGGCTCTCTGGAGCTCACCTGAAGAAACTAACTGTCTGAACCTGCCTGCCAGCCCTCAAGAAGAGGATCGGAAGAAGACTCTGGATCTGAACATTGATAAGTCTGAAGTCGAGCCCTGCCGTTGCTTAGCCCTCTGCCAACTTCAAGCCTCTGGACCCAACCTGGTTCCCCTCCTCAGCTGCTAAACCTGAGTCACGTCACAGGTACAAACCTGCACAATTCCTCTGGCTAAGATCTTCAGCATCCTGGCTAACCAAACTGTCCCTCTCTACAGAGAACCCTGTGTGACCAGTCCCGGACCGGCTTCTCAGTATTATTCATATAACTTTGTGTTTATCTCAATAAACAGTCAAACTTTTCGTCTGCCTCCGTTGTGTTCTGCATGTGGGTTAGAAACCTGAATCTCATCATGACAAAAACTTTGTATAATTAATAAACTTAAACAATACAGTAGTAGCCATTCAAAATTTCCCCACTTTCCTTTATGGGTCCTTGGCTGGTCTCCTACAATTCCTTTTTAAACATCTAAAATATTCTTTCTTTCATGATTTGTGGACATTAGGATCTAAAGAGTAGCGTTATCTCCTGGTCAGACCCTGCAATTCAGTGAAAGGGTGCAGTTAGAGTAAAAAAATATGCACGCCTATGAGAAGGCCAGTTACTGGAAGTTGGATGGGATTTTGTTTCCATTCGGCTGGCTTTTGACTGGGAAGGGCCATTTTGAATGGCTGCTACTGTAAATGTAAAAATTTCTGTCAACAAAGATTTGCATCATTGCCTGCAGCACACATTTCAGCGCGGCACGGTACCAGGCAGTTGGCTGTTGTAAAAAAAGCGGCGGTTGTGTCTTGTGCCACAGATCCGAAAGGGAGAAAAAGGAAGATAGCTGATGAGAACAGAAGATTCAAAGAAGAATGAGAAGATGTCAAATAATAAAAATAGTCATTTGGAAAGACATTTCCAGGAAAGGCATGCTAAATATGCAGCCGACCACCAAGTTGGGAGTGAGAGAAAACATTACTGCTGCTAGTTTGGTTGCAAGCATGGAAAACCATCCACAAATCAAACAGGTAGCGCTCTGATGCAGGGATGGGAACTTTCTTCCATTTTTTCCGCCAAAATTCTCAAAATAAAAATGAATAAAAATCTTATCTATTTATTGTGTTTCTATAATTTCATCAATGCAACAAAAACAACTACATTAATATTGTAATGGAGTTTAAACTTAAAGCACCAAATATATCATACAGCAGAATAGTCACATGATGTGACATTTGCTCCAGGATGAACATTTAACCATGAATGCTTATTATATATCTTTTATAGTGGGCTAATACAATTAGAGCCAGTGTTACCATACAAGTCTTACATAAGACTGGTAACTAACATTTTTGCAGCTCCAGACAGATTTGTTTTTTTTTCTTTTTTGGGCCAATAATGCTCTTTGAACAGTTTGGGTTGCCGACCCCTGCCATAGAGGCAAATATTTATACCATTATAGCAAAGTACTTGTGTTTGTTCAATTTCTGAGTTTGCAAGTCTCATTTGCGGGCAAATATGCAGTGAATGCATGTATTTGCAGGATGTGTTTTGATGTGTAAACCTTTTTCCCACAATGGGGAAATTTACTCTCTGCATTCAACCTTCCTTAGGGAGAAGTGGGTTGCCACTGTTAGCAGTCTGGGGTTAAGGGTCTAGCTCAGGGACCCAGAGTGGTGGAGTGTGTGTGAGACTTGAACTTAGAACCTCTGGAAGGAGGTTTTCTAGTTCTAGAAACATGTCAGGAAAATGTTGTCCTTGGTTTTTTACCTTTTTGATTTAACTTTTACAGAACTTTAAAATGAAAGCTTGAGTATCAACATTAAATCCCCTTCATCTCCCACTGCACGATCACCTCCTAATGATAAACCAGGTTATTCCTGTTATACTGAGAAACTCTTAGCTTAACATTAGCAAGTTATGTAAAATACTTTAATAAGAATAAATCTTAGTCCCATTACCATATAACCTGCTGTCCAGTTCAAGTGGTATTGTCTCCTTTCTACATCATTTACGGTTATCATCCAGCAGGAGAGGTAGGTCCCCTCAGCACACTGCAGATCTGAAGAAAACCATTGAGTTCTCTGCTGAGGATGACCCTGACCTCTGGTGGAGCGCCGTAAGCCTGCTCCAAGATTTAGGCCCCGTCCACACGAAGTCAAAACGAACACGAAACGCTAATATTTTCCAGAACGTTTGTCGTAAAGATGGAGACGTAAAATAAATGTGATCGACCACACGAATGCATGAAAACGCTGCAAAATGTATGCCAGGCCTGTAAGTGGCGCTGTGGTGCCAAAGCAAAAATAGGCAACGAAATGTTG